AATGGTTAGGGTGGAACATGTCTGCCGCAACTGTGGTGAACGGGAAATGCAAGAGTGAGTCGGTTAGGGTTATCGTTTGGGGTAGAGTCAGGGTTAAGATCTGTGTTAGGGTTATGGTTAGGTTGAGTGGGTTAGGGTAAGGTTTAGGGTTAGGATCAGGGTGTTCGTGTTATAGTTAGGATTAGGGTTAGGATGCGTGGGTTAGGATCAGAGTGTTTGTGTTAGGGTTATGGTTAGGTTGAGTGGGTTAGGGTAAGGTTTAGGGTTAGGATCAGGGTGTTCGTGTTATAGTTAGGATTAGGGTTAGGATGCGTGGGTTAGGATCAGAGTGTTTGTGTTAGGGTTATGGTTAGGTTGAGTGGGTTAGGGTAAGGTTTAGGGTTAGGATCAGGGTGTTCGTGTTATAGTTAGGATTAGGGTTAGGATGCGTGGGTTAGGATCAGAGTGTTTGTGTTAGGGTTATGGTTAGGTTGAGTGGGTTAGGATTAGGGTTAGGGTTAGGATGCGTGGGTTAGGTTGGGGTTAGGATCAGAGTGTTTATGTTAGGGTTAGGATTAGGGTTAGGATGCGTGGGTTAGGATCAGAGTGTTTGTGTTAGGGTTATGGTTAGGTTGAGTGGGTTAGGATTAGGGTTAGGGTTAGGATGCGTGGGTTAGGTTGGGGTTAGGATCAGAGTGTTTATGTTAGGGTTATAGTTAGGTTGAGTGGGTTAGGATCAGAGTGTTTGTGTTAGGGTTATGGTTAGGTTGAGTGGGTTAGGATTAGGGTTAGGGTTAGGATGCGTGGGTTAGGTTGGGGTTAGGATCAGAGTGTTTATGTTAGGGTTATAGTTAGGTTGAATGGGTTAGGATTAGGGTTAGGGCGTAACGCGGGTGTGACGTCGGCGTGCGTTTTGCTTAGGGCCTGCTGAAGATGCTGGAGGGCACCACTGTCAACGTACCGGAGAGAAACGCGAGGAAGATGCGCGGTGAGACGATCGCCATAGATACGACAAACATACTGTTCGTCGCCTCGGGAGCCTTCAACGGGCTGGACAGGATTGTTGCACGCAGGAAGAAGGAGAAGGTGAGAGACTGATGTCTGTGTTTGTGTCTGTTCTTATGTTTCTTGTGTATCTTTATTATGCGTCACGCGCGGTCGGTTGTGAGATGATACGATGAATCCGGCCACTCCTTTTTTGAAATTGATTTTGAGAATTTTTGATTCATACTACATGAACTATAGTATATAGACGGGACTGGGTTCTGGACTGGGAGACGGGGGGGGGGGTGCTATTTCCACCACTGGTGTACACGGGTGGAAGTCACCGGCAGTAAGACTGCTGTGTTACAGTAGCGTCTCCGCAATGCCATCGTAATGCTGCAGAACCTGCTGATGTAATTCCTACTCATAAATCTTTGCTCACGGCGCAAGGCACCTTCGCACCTTGTCATTTCCAACTCACACGTTCGCAGATGTTTTTAACGGTTTGTTACGTGGTTTGCAGTCATCGCAAATTGTGTTCTTCGATGTTGCATGTTAGCTTGTGATTATCGCCGATGGGTAATTCGGTAGTGACGGACTTAGAATGTTCGAAGAACAGAACTGCACAATAATCTTGAGAAAAAATAGGCAACCCCCCCGCGCACTGGTAACATTGTAGTCCCTGTAGTTTCGGGGCTCGTGAACCACTCGCGACGCGTCTAGTGACGAAAAATCTTCAAAGAACAAATCTGCGCAGTAATCTTGAGAAAAAAATAGGTGACCCCCGTGTGCTGCTCACGTTGCAGTACCTCGGATTCGGAGCCCCGACGAGCGGCAGCCCCGGGCGGCGCGCAGCGGCCGACGCAAACATGCAAAACCTGACGGAGGCAAACGACGTCGTCGGGGAGAACCTGGAGCGAGATCGGCTGCTCGAGGTCGTCGAGGCGCGGGATCTCATCGAGTTCGGTACGTCGGTCGATCGGACGATCAGACGGACGGGCGAGGTTTTCCCTTCTGCATGAATGTGCTCTCTCTCTCTCTCTCTCTCTCTCTCTCTCTCTCTCTCTCTCTCTCTCTCTCTC